TCAAATCGAATTAGCTCGTATCTTAAGCGGCGGATTATGTTTAAGATTAAAGTTTTTTCTACATAAAAATGTAATTCCAAATTAAGAAACAAGGATGGAATTAGATTACAAAACCAATACTTAATTAATAGACATCAGAAAAAAATTAAAAAATATTGTAAATTAATTAGAGATCCAGCGATTGTACAGTGCGAAAGGAATTTCTTTTTTAAACCTATATGTATGTAATAATTCGAGAACTGACTGTTGGTATTTATCAAAAAAAATTACCAGTATTTCAAAAGTGTATGCATACAAAATGTTTTTATGTTTGTGCACATATATCCGGAACTACAAATCCGATTTAAGTAATACTTTTTTGATTGTAAGAAGTATAGTATACAACGTAGGGTATACTGCAAGTTTCATCAAAATCTGTTCAGTGGTTTTTAATACATATAAGGAATTTTCGAGATGGTTTTTGTAATGCCATTATAAATTACAATCAATTAGTATTGTGTTGTAGTGATGTTTCTTGTATGCGCGAGGATCAAGCGGTTGTTTTAACTGTTTATTGGGATCAAGGTCATTGATTGTGAGACAATATCAGGAACTTTTATGGTCTTAACTAATATACCTACGACTTTAGTTAAAAAAAAGCGACTTCAAAACTGTACGTAAATATTTTACCTATGAGAGTATGTATAGTGTTGGTAATAATAATTTATAATGATTTAAATTATTGTCTACTTCACAATTCTAAGCTTCACGTTATTTATATTCAAATATTTATTTGGAATTCTTATGATAGTCAACTAGCGCCTATATATTTGTTATAACAGTGTAAATTAATGCTAATAATATTTCTATTCCATAATTTAAATGTCCAAATACTTAAAAATTTGAACCTTAGAATGTTTTATATAATGTTAAGAGTTTTATTACTTAATGGAAACTCATTTTGAGGGGAACTAGCGCCCTCTGTACGAGATTGTAACTTACTTTTACCAAAATATGTAATCTTTGAATATTATAAATAGGATGTAAGTGTTAGACCTGGGATCATGTTACAATTACTTTCTAATGATCAATCAATCAGAGTCCTTTAAGTATTTCCACTGTTAATATTATTTAATAACTGTTATATATTTATGTACGTGATTTTATTTTACAATTGTACATGTTAATTTTTTACACTATTCTTTGTACTTATATTATTTTGTTAAATTTGTTTGAAAGTAGTTTGTAATGTCTTTATAAAGTACATATATGTATTTCGTTTCTATGATATTTATCCACTTCTGTATATTAAAAGTAATTTTGATCCATAAGTTAATCTTTTTTTTTATATTAAATGTATTTATGCAACAAGTCTTTTTTTTTTTTTTTCTACGAGGGGAATCTTTTAAAGACTTCCTGCCGCGGGGGAAACGCGTCAGGGGCATGTGGGATTTCCACCCACTAAACCACCTCGGCGTTCTCTGCGCTGTGCGTACGCTAGTGAGCGGGAACGGCAAGCCATACTTCCGCTCACTACGCACGAGTCCCGAAAGGGACTCCGCCATCGGCAGGGGCATCAGTGGCTGACCACACCACCCCTCCGACTCAAGAGCAGCGTGCCGGGAACGCCAAACACGCCGCTCTTCCTCTAGCCTATGTTACCCGGACGCCGGTTCCCCACCGACGCCCGGAGGCTTCCTCACTGGGGAGGCAGGTCGCGAGCATAAGCCCGCTGCCTTCGACCCAGCCTTCGTCGGCGCAGCGGCGCCGAGGAGGGGTCGTCTTCCCTCACTCGTTCAGCAGCCTCCTTCTGCAAGATGACTCTCTCGCTGAAGTCGGCCACCGCCTGCCATGCCCTCTCGCTGCCGACCATGGCCTGGACCACTGCCGGCAACGAAAGGTCTGCGCCAACCACGCGGATGAGTTGGCTCCGCTCGGATATCCACGCTGGACATTCCATCAGTGTGTGGTCAGCGGTGTCTTCCACGCAACTGCAGTGGTGACACGTCGCTGTCGGCTCTCTCCCGACTATATGGCACAAATACCTCCCGAAGCAACCGTGCCCCGAGAGGATCTGCACCAGCCGGAAGGTCAAGGATCCGTGTCGGCGGTCCACCCACTCCATGAGGAGCGGGCGAATAGCCTCCACGGTTCGCAACCCGGCCACTGGCTCAGAGAGCCTTTGCCTCCACCGATGGAACAAGGACGACCGCGCAGATCGTCGCCAACTATCCACCCGATCCCGGTCCGGACTCGTTCCCCGGGATCCATCTCGCGCGCGCTGGTGGTAAACCTCAACCAGAACCTGGGCATCCAGTTCCCAGGGAGGCGTCCCAGCCAGCACGCAAGCCGCCTCATGAGAGACAGTGCGGTATGCTCGTACCACCCTCACCGCCATGACGCGCTGCACTCTGTGCAGCGCAGCCACGTTCGGCCTTGTGAGGGCACCGACCCACACTGGAGCTCCGTACAGCGCCATTGAGCGTAACACACCGGTGTATAAACGCCGGCATGCCACACTCGGACCGCCGAGATTGGGGAGAAGCCTCCCGAGAGCATTCGCCGTCCCGAGGAGTTTCGGGACTAACCCGCGAAAGTGCTCCCGGAAGTTCCACCTTCCGTCCAGAGTCAGCCCCAGATATTTCATCCGGGGACTGAGCTCGACGCGGACGCCGCGGATGGTGATGCAGGCGCCCGTCGGAGGTCCTGCTCGAGGGCGGTGGAACAGGAGGGCCTCGGTTTTGTCGAGACCCACCCTCAGCCCGAGCATCTCGATGCGCCGTACTACTAAGGCGGCTCCCGCCTCGGATGCAACAAGTCTAACTCAATAATAATTTAACATTTAGGTACGGTAGTTAAATGAAATAATTATATCTTTATAGGTACAACTTTATTGAATGATCTTTAAAGTAATATTTGTAACAGAACATATCATACAAAGTTTTTGCGAGTGATAGTGAAATAGCTCCCTAACAAGTAATATACAAACAACAGTAAATGTAACAATACATTTAATCCTCAGTTTCTGCACAAAGACAACTTCATTTAAACAGTTCAGCTTCATTTAAACAGAAGTGTCATTATACGCAGATGACACAAGTCTATTCTTTTTTGGAAACTCAATACATGAGATAACATCGAACGCACAAGCTGTAATTTGCTGAGTCTAAATGTTACAAAAACCTCCTGTATGCTTTTTTACTGCTAAAAATTAAAAAAATCCATAACCATAAATAATATTAAACTCCAAAAATCAGAAACAGAAAAGTATCTTGGTTTACTATTAGATTACAAACTATTATGACAACCTCATTTAGATTACATATTTGCAAACTAAAATAACATCACTGACTGGAGCTTTACGCAGGTGTGTCCGATGTATTCCATATAAAGTTCGAACTATTATTTATAACTCATTAGCTAAACCCTTACTTGAATATTTAATAGAAGTATGGGGATCTGCACACAAAACTAATTTAAAAGATTTACAAATATCACAAAACAAACTATTAAAAAAAAACACTACACCAACTGGACTACCGCTTTCCAACCAAAGAACTTTACAAGAAAACTGATACACTATCTAATATCTATGGCACAATTATACAAATACAAAACATGCATACTTATAAGAAAACTTCTCTCAGGATCTATACATACACAAACTACTTTTAAGACTAAATCACATAAATACTTATTTGTATGCTAAAATTAATCGTAAAGTTAACATCTTTGCTATGAAAACGTATAACTGTAAAAAAAACGTTAAAGCACTACTTAAAGGATTTGGATTATAGTGAAACTATAAGTAAGGGGAGTAAGGGGAGAACGGAACCAAGACCAAATCCGACCCAACTGTCAACCTCACCTGCTCGCGCTGGTGGTTCGTATGAATAGCTGGCGACGGTGATTCTTGTAGACGCCGTGGTGCTCCCTGCTAGACAACGGACGAGGCTCTGGCGACCGAACGCTTGGCGGTATAACCAGTTTTCACTTCGTGTAAGCCTAAATACTTACACCATCGAACTAACACCTTAGGTTCGAGGGTTTTCCTGCTTCAATATGAAACAGGTTTTAGTGCGTCAGATGACAATCGGCACTGGATTAATAAACCCAAAACGTCAATTCTCTGGAACGAATGAAAAGGTTGCAAAGGGAATATCGTAAGACAGATAGGGCGTCGCCACAAAACGACGCGCAGATACATCGCCCTACCTCTGTGACAAGTATACGAGGGCTATCGGATCAAGGACGGGTCCGACTAAAGAAGCTAGTCCCGGAAAGCAACAAGAAAGTCCGCTTCGCTACGTTGAATGTTGGAACACTTTCAGGAAGAACTAAAGAACTCGCAGACTTATTTAAACGCCGGAGGTTAGATTTCATCTGTCTTCAGGAAACTAAATGGCAAGGTTCCAAGTCTCGTAACATCGGGGAAGGATACAAACTAATGTACGCAGGATCGCAAGGAAGACAAAATGGCGTGGCAATAGCGATTAGTCAAGAACATCTCGACAATATAATCGAAGTAAAGCGCTTTAGTGATAGAGCTATGAGTGTCAAAGTTGTGGTTCATAGCGAGGTAGTAAATATCGTCACTGCCTATGCTCCTCAAGTAGGGTGCACTAAAGCTGAAAAAAAAAAAAAAAAAAAAAAGGTTATTTTGGACTCTGCTCGATGACATCTTACAAGAAATACCTAGTAACGAAATTACCATAATGGGCAGTGACCTTAATGGCCATGTGGGTAAAAAGCATCAACCGTTTCAACGCATACACGGGGGTCATGGGTATGGTAGTCCAAACGAAGAGGGTAAAGCTATTATGGAATCCGCCATGTCTCACGATCTAGCTATAGCCAATACGTTTTTCATCAAGAAGCCTGAGCACTTGATCACATATAAAAGTGGCACAATGAGTTCACAGATCGACTATATTCTAGTAAATCGAAATCTGATCGGTAGGGTCAAAAACTGCAAAGTTATACCCGGAGAATGCGTTGTGTCACAACATCGAGTTGTCGTCATGGATATGACTTTTAAACCAAAATCAACACCTAGAACAGAAAACGAACCAGACCTCATAAAATGGTGGCGCTTGAAAGGAGACAAGGTGCAGGAGTTTTGTAATGAATTAGATAACTTAGTATTCCCGGGAGGAGGTCATAAAGATGTGAACGCAAATTGGATGGACATACAAGCCAAGATTCTAAAAGCTGCAGAAAAGGTACTAGGGCGAACGAAAGGTGGAAAGCGCATACCGATGGAGACGTGGTGGTGGAGTGAACCAGTACGCACAGCCCTTAGAAGAAAGAAAAAGGCGTTTAAAACATGGCAATCCACCAAGACAAATGAAGATAGGCAGCAGTATAAACAGAGTAAGAAAGAGGCCCGACAAGTGATCGCAGTTGAAAGATCCAAAGCTACAAAAGAACTGTATGCATCCTTAGAAAAGAAAGACGGTCATAAGCTCATATACAAGTTAGCTAAATTGCGAAACCAGGCTACCAAAGATTTTGTGAAGAATAAAATACTTAAGGGACCAGACGGAAATCTAGTGTCCAATAGCAAGGATATCCTGAAAACATGGCACCAGTATTATGATGGTTTGTTGAACACTAATACTACGGAAGTCTGCTTACCACAAGTTGCTAAAAATCTGGGCCTCGTACCCCCTATAACAACACGGGAGGTTAATGCAGCGCTTAAGAAAATGCCAAACAAGAAGGCCATGGGTCCAGATGGCATTCCTGTGGAAGTGTGGAAGTGTCTGGGTGATGTAGGAATAAACGTATTGACAAACTTGTTTAACAACATACTGCTGGAACAGGGCGGCATTCCGGATGCTTGGAGAATGAGCGTGGTAATTCCTCTCTACAAAGGTAGAGGTAGTAGATATGAATGCACTAACTACCGAGGCATTAAGTTAATGTGCCATACGATGAAACTGTATGAGAGAGTTATAGACAACCGTCTACGTGCCGAATGTACGCTCTCCGAAAATCAGTACGGATTTGTGCCCGGTTTGTCAACAATTGATCCGATATTTGCCATGACCATGATAGCTGAAGAATACAGAGCAAAAGAGAAACCCCTTTACGTTGCATTTCTGGATATGGAAAAGGCTTTTGATCGTGTTCCCAGAGACACTATATGGTGGAGTCTCAGATTTCGTAACATCCCTGAAGCATACGTTTCCACCATTGCCGACATGTACAGAAATGCGCGTTCATTCATAAGAACAACGGTAGGAGTGACAAAATCCATCTCAGTCACTGAAGGGGTCCATCAAGGTTCAGTTCTGAGTCCATTCTTGTTCAGTCTAGTGCTGGATACACTCACTGAAGATGCTCAACAGAAAGCTTCATGGACTTTCATATACGCAGACGATGTAGCGATATGTACATCAAGTCGTCAAGATCTTGAAGTAGCATTAAGCGCATGGAAAGAGCAACTACAAGCAGGAGGATTGATACTAAGTGTTGCTAAGACCCAGTACATGGAGTGTAATGTCTCTACCCCTCGCACGGATCCAATAGTGATTGATGGGCAGGTGGTCCAACAGTGCGATGAGTATAAATACCTGGGTAGTATGATAAACAAATTCGGTAGTCTGGAAAGCAACCTTCAACACCGTATATCCACTGCTTGGGTGAAGTGGCGCGAGCTTACTGGAGTCATTTGCGACACGAGGATGCCCATCAAGCTCAAAGGGCTAGTTTATAAGTCCATCATAAGACCAGTTCTCATATATGGAAGCGAGACGTGGGCTGTTACAAAAAAAACATGTTGATACCATTCGTGTGACGGAGATGAAAATGTTGAGGTGGATGTGCGGAGTGACGAGGCTCGACAAGATCCGCAACGTGTACGTGCGTGGTAGCCTCGGGATACGCGACATCGCCGACAAACTGCAGGAGAACCGACTACGATGGTATGGACATGTTAAAAGAAGACCACCTCAATACATAGGCAATAGAACGCTTAACTGCAATTTACCTGGCAAGCGAAAAAGGGGAAGACCGCGATTGCGATGGTTAAGCGTCGTCACTAATGACATGTATAACTGCGATCTGGATGAGGAAGATGTCCATGATAGAGCGAAGTGGAAGAAAAACAGCAGGAAAGCGGACCCCGTCACAAGACGGGATTAACGCTAAGAAGAAGAAGAAGAAGAATTATAGTGAAACTGAAAAACTATTGGAAATAACTGCATAAATATTTGAGGACTTGTGTAATTATTTTAACACTATAACTGACTATCGCACTCGCTCACTCACCCACACACTCACACACACACATACACACACACACACACACACACACACACACACACACACACACACACACACACACACTCAAACACACATGCACGTTATATGATTAAAATTACATTTGATTTATATATTGCCTATGTATATTGTTCTTGGTTTGTAAAATAATGTTTACCTTTTACCTCTATGTATTTGATTCCGTTTGTGGAAGAGCAGGGACTCCTAACACAAGAAAATTCCTTTTCTTAAAAGGAGCTCCCTAGCTGTAGCTGTTTGTTTCTAGGTTTAAGATACAATAATAAACAATACTATACACGAAATATTATTATTTTTATGGGAAAAGGGGACAACCGAGCAGACGGCCTACTTGATGGTAGGTAGTTACCGTCGCCTATGGACATGTCGCCTATGTGTTGCCGCCCTTCATTGGGGAAAAGGGGGAGGAAAAGGTGGGAGAGGGAGGGAAAGGGCAACCGGCTCTCTCACTCACCGGACGGAACCCAGTATTGTAAATACTACTTAACGCCGATTTTCTGCAAGAGGGTAGTACTTCCCCGGTCGAGCTCCCTCAAATTGTATAGTTTTGTTACCATAATGTTTAGTTCTAGACTTAGGTATTTGTATTTGATGTATATATTTTGAGGTGGTAGAGCCTAGCTGTGGTCAGTTACTACAGCTCGAACATGGGCTGGCTTGAGCGGAGAAGTACCAAGATCGACGTGAAGTACTCTTTAATGTCTACGTTTCGTCCTATGAGTGAGAGAGCCGGCTTTCCTTTCCCTATTCCCACGCTTTCCTGGCCTTTCCCTTCCTATCCTCTTCCCCAATCAAGAGCGTTAACACTGTCCATGGGAGACGGTGACTACTGTCGGTTACAACTATTCTTATAAAAAAGTATTATTTTAAATAGTACAAATGCAATGATGAAGAAAAAAATTAGTGATCAAACCTTCATACAAAACAATATTGACATAAAGAAAAATATTTTGTTCCTACAACTGTATAAATAATGAAGAAAACTCATCTGGTACTTATTTGCTTGTTTTCCCTCAGTTGATCCTGTCTGTACAAATATTACAGAAAAGTATCAACATATGTACAATATTTAAATTAGAATAAGAAAACAGTAAAATACTACTTTTTAGGTAGGTACAGTTTCAGTCTTGATTCTTAATGTTCATTGTTACTTCTAGTAGTCGTACAAAATGGCTGAAGCCAGTATTTATATCACAAATATGTACAAGCTGATACTCAAACCTTGTCATCATCAAATTATATTAAGGGGGTTTTATAGTTAATAATAAATAATTACAAATATTGCTTACAATATATAACAAATATTTATGTATATAACTGCTATATACCTAACATTAATTAAGTATCAGGTTTGAACAATTTCATCTCGCCAATATCTACATTAATTTATTATTATTTATAATCAGTCACAATTAATTCTAAGAATTATAGTATAATACAATTAGAATGGCACAGATGACGCCACTTGTAACACTATTCGTGTTATTTACATGTTTCAGTTCTACAACCATAATAATGTATTAAATAAAATACCTTTAATAAATTTTCTAAACAATCCGACATTCTCTACGTTTGTATGTATACAAATATTAATAGTATGAAAGATAAGTCACAGAATAATACATCATATGAGTCACATCATGTACACACACATTAGTATTTAATTGATAGCTTAAGACTTTGAATTTGAAGATTATATTTACTCATGTTATATTATGTTTTGTGTTTATAACCAACTCATTTGAAGGATGTATATACGGAGTCCCAAAGTGTTATTATCTTCATATATATAAGCTTAACAAGTACAAGTATTACTGCTTAATAAAAATCAAAGACAAACCAATACATCCACAATAACTGTAATTCATTTCAATACAACAATAATAATTTTCTTTATGATAAATGCGGTTTATATTAATATTATAAATGAAAACAGTTCAAGGTAAATCTATTATAACAAAAACTTTTAGCCCCCTCTAGTGGCATAACAGATACTATTCTTTTAAAAACTAATTATTCTAGAGAAAAAGGTACGATAAGCATAATTAGTACATACAGAAATAAAACATTTAAGATGGGCAATGTTTTATCAGATTATAAATAACAATAAAGTAATTGCATCATATCAGAGAAGTATATCAAATAGATTGGATTAAATAAAATATTATGATCCAAAAGATATTATATATAAAAGTTGTACAGTAACTGTTAAAGATATTGTTTGACAAGTGTTAATTCAATATAAAATAACTATGTAGCAGACAAGTTGGAGATGTGCTGCTAGGCCGGCTGTGTTCATTGTTAGTTTTCATCTAACACTTGATGATCAGCCGTCATCTCCTGATGGATGAATCTCAAGTACAGTCCAACAACACCATCTGTAATACATAATACAATATTGTTCTTATATAAAGACATACAAAGACACTTACTTCAATTATTGTGTGTTTAAAATAAATTATAAAACGTAAAAAAAAAATTACAAAAACACTCGCTTATAAAATAACAAACTAAAAAGAAGCATATTTGTCATTATTATGCATTCACTTGAATATAAATGAATGATTAACAAAATATAAGTGTTTTTATTTTATTAATCATTTATTTATTTTCAACTCATTAATTCTGCTAACTAGATGGTTTTGTTTTGTAAACCATTATTAATAGCATGATGACTGTTAGTGATTGCAATTATTATCAAACCCCATCTAATATTATAAATACGAAAGTAACTGTCTGTTTGTTTGTTAAGTTTTCTTTCCTAACCCGCTGAACCGTTTGTGATGAATTTTAGTATGGATATAAATAAAGCCCAGGAAAAGGTCTTGGGCTTCTTTTTTTCCCGATTATCCATTGACACAATCCCGACCCCAATCCCAATACTACGCGGGTGGAACCATGAAGTGGAAGCAGTTCAGGTTCAGTGGCCATAGTGACAGAGAACAACTGTGATGTACACGCAGACGGAGCCGCGGGCATGAGATAGTTAATATTATAATTACAATCTTTTATTTATTTATTTAATCATTATGACGTGTCGGAAGCATTCAGTTTATGTAATAAAAATAAAAATATTGAATAAATGAACATAAACAATGATTCAATCTTACTATAAAAAATAACAGAATAATATTAAATAATCAACAGTACATACCGTAAAACTACTATCGTACATCAGCTACCTACACTTCTCTTCATAGAAGGTTTCCTCTTGTCCGCAGACCACGTCCTAACAGACGCTCCACCAACAGCTTCGACCCTCATCTTGAATTATATATTGTTACGAGTCCTGGAAC